AATGGGTCTCATGTCAGAACTTTTCTCTCCCTTTAAATCACCTGTATAAGCTTAGAAAAGATTTCTCTTAGAAAACACATTTCTGAGCTCTTTCTTCTAAATAAACAAAAAAGTTACAGCTCAGTTCACTGTCATTCAGCAGCACCACACTTCAGCACGCATTCATTCATTTGTTTGGACTCTTCAGTTATGGAATTTTAGTCGCTAATATTGCTTTCCCTCTCAGGTTAACATTTGTTGTGGAAAAACTGCATAAATGAGACAAAAATGCAGCTGCTGCAAATAATGTTTGCTTGATTTTGCATACAAACTTTCTGTATGCATGGAATACCCAGATAAAATATATTTACTATATTTGCCAGAATCTGCTAAATATAACTCGAGTACACTGAAATCAGTTCAGACGCTGTGTTTGGAATGGCATACTATCATACAACTCCTACTATATTGCAGCATGCAGTATGTATACTGTGAATAATATGTAAATTTTCTAGATTACCTGCTACATTTTCAGAATTCTGATATATGCATCTGAAGACACTGCATGGGATACGGTTTCCCACAATGCAACACGCTCCACGTGATGTTTCATCTTCAAATGTGTGAGTGAACTGGAGGCGGGGATAGTAATTATAAATGTAACACTTTTATATGTACTTATATACATGTTACTGTACACTACAAACTATTGCTGTGTATCTAAAAACAACATCATTAGTAGGACGTAAATTGTACCTTAAACTCTACGGCACGTTTCCGATCAAGTCAAATGACGTCACCTTTATCTTTATTACAGATTGTTTCAAAGATATTAAATAATAATAATAATATTGCAGTAATATATAAATAAAAATACAATTTAAATTATGCAAACAGAATTCAATTCCACTGTAAAGCAGCTCTAAAAAGAAACTGAGTGTCTATTTACTCTAAGCACCTGCAAAAGACACTTGTTTTTCGGAGAATCAGTGGCGTAGCGAGGACTAACCATTGCTTTTGACACGATTGACCCGTGTTTTATAATCCGCCTTTTGCCAAACTCATCATATATCAGATCGGAGAGGCATTTATTTTCAATAAAAATAAAGGAAATATTTGAAAAGTGGAAATATAACGCCTCATCAATAATAATTGGTATGGTTAGCAGCAGTAGGTGTAGGGAGGGTTTTGTCCCAATAAGGCGGCATCTATTTAATAATATTAATAAATATGATAATTTACACTCAGTAAGTTATTGCATAATGTTTTATAATGTACTACTGTTGTTACGGGGCGAACGAGACGTGAGACGTGCGGATCCATGTGCAAGGCTTGACTAAGACTAGAACTAGAACTGGGAACTAGGAATGACTCCGTAATGCAGCTATCGCTAGAAGAGTGATATGCGCTAAACCAGCGGTTCTCAATTCCAGTCCTCGCGTACCCCCGCTCTGCACATTTTGTATGACGGAGCTCACTTCTAACGAGATGATGATCTGAATCAGGTGTGTTAACAAAGAGAGACATGCAAAACATGCAGAGCGGGGGTACACAAGGACTGGAATTGAGAACCGCTGCGCTAAACAATACTCTGCCTTGAATGGTGGTCTGAGACTGATTTATATAGTGTGTGTTATTGGTAGCAGCTGTGTGTGATTGGTTTCAGGTGAGCTTGTGATTAGGAGCATGGGAAATGTAGTCCAGAGTGATGTGTAACAGTCTGTGTGGTGTGAGAGTCAATATAATGGGAGGGCGACATCTGGTGGCAAGCGGATGGAAGTTCATGAACAGGATTCGTGACATAGCACCCCCCCCAAGGAGCGGTTTCCAGACGCTCCTAAAACAGTAAAATCCAGGAGGGTGGTGGAGCGGAGGCAGAACAGAGGGAGGGATGGAGGGCCAGGTCCATGTGGAAGTGAAGGGACAGCGGACTGAGGCAAAGCCAGGAGAGCAGGATGCCAAGGCAGAGCAGGGAGCTAGGGCGGAGCCGGCAGAGCAGGAAACCAGGGTGGAGCCGACAGAGCAGAGCCCCAGGACTGAACAGGCAGAACAGGTGGCACTGAGGACCACCACAGCAGAGCAGACAAGTCTGAAGATCCCCACGGCGGAGCGGAAGACAACCAGAGCCAGACAGAAGACCACCACGGCGGGGCGGGTGGAGCAGAAGACCACCACAGCGGAGCAGACAGCGCAGAAGACCACCACAGCGGAGCAGAAGACCACCACGAAGGAGCAGATGGAGCAGGAGCCCACCAGGGCGGAGCAGACGAAGCAGGAGCCCACCAGGGCAGAGCAGACGGAGAAGCAGACCACCAGACCGGAGCAGACAGAACAGAAGACCAGCAGAGCGTAGCGGAAGACCACCTCAGTGGACCAGATGGATCAGGAACCCATGGCAGAGACTGGGACCTGGGGAAAATTGAGACACAAGAGACAGACAATGCAGATACGGCCTCAATGACCGAGGCAGGGAACACAAAAAGTTTATCAAAAGTTTCCCCGGAGACAACTGAATGGGCAGACAGTTCATAATCAACTGCATTAGCTGGAATAGGATGGACAGACTGTTCAAACTCAAGATCATTGTTTACAACTGAACAGACAGATGGCTCAGAATCAGACTCAGTAGTTGGAACCAGACAGACAGATTGTTCAAAATTAGACTTAGTGATTGAAATGGGCAAGAACGACAGCTCAAAACCAAACTCAACAGCAGAATCCAGACAAATGGACAGTTCAAAATCGGATGGATTAACAGAAACTGGACTGGGAGACACTTCAGTGACTGAAACTGAACAGACATTAATAGAATCTGCACAGAGAGCTGGTTCAACAGACTCATTGAGGGAAATGGGACTGGCAGATGATTCAGAAAGAGATTCATTAGCAAGATTTAGACAGACAGACAGTTTATTAGTGGTCTCTGGGTTCGTGACAGGGCTGGCAGGGCAGACAAAAGGTTCGTTAACGGCCCCTATGGCCCTGACAGGGTTAACAGGGCAGGAAAAAGGTGCATTTAAGGCCTCGGTCGTAACAGGCTGGGTCGAGAGTTCCAAGGGAAACCCCTTAGATGAATCAGGGCAAAAATAAAGTCCATGTACTGTCTGAGGGATTGTTACGGGCATGGTTGGGAGTTCTAAGATGGCCTCTTTGGCCGACTCAGAGCAGGACATGAGTTCATAAGTGGCCTCCGTAGCGGTGACAGGACAAATAGGGAGTTCACAGACGGCCTCCATAGCCGTTACAGGACTGGAAGAGAGTTCACAGACGGCCTCCATAGCCATGACAGGACAGGCAGAAAGTTCCCAGACGGCCTCCATAGCCGTTACAGGACTGGCAAAGGGATCACAGACGGCCTCCATAGCCGTGACAAGGCAGGCAGAGTGTTCACAGACGGCCTTCATAGCCGTGACAGGACAGGTAGCGAGTTCATAGATGACCTCCTTGGCCGGAACAGAACAGGACGAGAGTTTATAAGTGGATACCGCTGACACCTCTGGAGGTTCTGCAGCGGATGCCGCCACCTCTGGAGGTTCTACAGCCGTACTATCAGGAAACAGGGAACGTTCATTAGTATTCTTCTTAACAGAAAAGGTACAAAGTTCAGCAATGGTTCCCTCGACCGTGACATGACAGGTTGAATGTGTATTGCTGGGCGCCACCACCATACAAGGAGCTGAAGCGAGCGCCGCCACCTCGGGAGGTTCTGCAGCCTCAGCCGCCACCTCTGGAG